GGTACTGGTAGAGTAAAGGAGGATGAGTCTGCTCAAACGTATCACGATTCCAGAGTTATACCAACGTAGCTTTGAAGAAAAGAAAACTCACTTCTCCTGTGATATTGGATGCACATTGGGGTTCTGAAGAATGTTTTGAGGATAACAAAACTCTGTATCTTGGCGGGACACGTTTTGGGAAGATCTCAAGGTTCCTTAAGCTTACAATAATACTCAAAAGGCTCTCAGAACATATTTGAGTTTTCTCTCTCTCTAAACTGATATTTTTGTTCAGTCCCTTGATGTTTTCAGATGCCTAGATCCCAGTTCATGTTGAGAATCCGGATCAGGACTATTATCATGTATGATTCAATGGTGGTCTCATTTTACAATCCCTTGTTCATATGTATCAATTATATAACTGTAAATCTTCTTCAGCTTGCATTCTTCACAACAAGAGACATCAGCGCAGCGCAAAAGATGGATTAGGTGTAGTGAAATTGTCTACCACGAATCACCAAAAACCGTGAGTTAACAACAAATCACCTTTTCATCACAACTAAACCCAAAAACAGAATCTTTAATTGCAATTCAGTTCTGTAAAACTCAAAATACTACAAGCTAGCTTTTAGATAATATTCACTTGGGAGTACACATTCATTGGCTTCAGAAATTTAGAACGGCTAGATTTTGAAATGAAGATACCTTCTAGAGTAGAAGACGTTGTTGTTTACAGGAATAAAAACATGTAACCAAGAATGTTTCCGCCTTTTGCAGCAATGCAATCTGATAGTTTGGCTACAATCCCAACCACATCCTAAAAGCAAAGCAGAGAAATTTTGGGTCAACGGAGATTCATACTCGATTGAGATTATGCGTACCGGACAATGGAAGACGTGAACGCCGGGGATGAGAACTGGAGAGACAAAGGAATCGAGGGACTCGCCGTGAAATTGACAAGATTTAAAGGACCACTTCTTCCCAAAGCTGTGGCGGCGAGAAAGTAACCACCTTTCAGCTTCTTCGCACCATTGTTATATCTCACATTCTCACCTTTATTATCCTTCAATTCTGTGTGTTGTGTTATTCACATGTCATCCTCAAATTTTAGAGCTTTTTCGATAAATAAACTGAATCGACTTCTTACTTCATTGTACTGAAAGCAAGTATATTTCTAAATTTACCTTTATCTTGTAGAGAGAAAGCTCTGGAGTTGGGAAATGGCGATTGCAAAGTATGGATTGGTATGATGGGTAAAAAAAAATCTCATGAATCTTCACCATCTCCGAGATCAAGGCCTCGCCGTCGTTTGCATCGCCGATCCTCACCCTCCCTCACAGCTTCTGGCCACTCCTTTGGCTGGGAACTCAAGGTATTCTCTTTTCCCGATAATCAAACTTAGGATTCACTATTCAGTTCAGTGTAGAGAGGACCTTTGTAAAGTGTTTCTCTTTAATGTTCTTGTGCAATGATTGTTTGAATTGAATCCTAGTCTTTGTACTGGTTGAAAAAAAAAAAATGCACAACAATACCAACAAAATAAAAATATTATAAACCTATTTATTTTGTCAACATTCTTATAAAATATCATAAAAAATGAAATTCTAATTATGACGATATTGGTATATTTCAGTGTTAAAAAAATTTCTGTAAAATGAAATTTATACACAAAAAATAATAATAATATATTGGATCAATTAC